TGCTTGACATCGATAGACTCCATGTTATCGAGGTCCGAGTGTAGAAACATTGATACCTATGTGTTCGTATCGGCGAGGAGAAGTTTTATATCTAGGTTAGAACATAAAAAGGGCTGCCACCTGCTAAAAAATTAAATTCAATTAAGTTAAATGAATTACTAAATTACTAAATCAATCGAGATGGTTTTGAAAAGGCTTTATTTCTAAACAACATGTGGGAGGATTACCATCTATTTAAAAATTAAATTCAACTTTAATTCAAGGGAATTAGGTAACTGAAATATGTATAACAACAAGGGTGTCAGACTAAAAAGTTTAATAAGGTTATAGTTTTAAACTATTTTTAACAGGGCTGCAACCTGTTAAAAAATTAAATTCATTGTATATAATAGGTTAAATTAAATCTTAACAATATGGATATGGAACATGAGATTGTTTGCCACCTGTCAAAAAATGTAATTCAATTAATTTCAAAGAATTACTACGCTAAGGGTATCATCCAAATGGCTTTGAAAGGACTTAATTTTCAACTAAATTTATTAGAATTGCTACCTATTTAAAAAATCAAATTCAAAATAACATATGAATAGAAAAAACACTATATGGACCAACCATTATGTTGAGTTTTATTGAAAAAATTTGCACCTTATCTAACACCCAAAAATTTTATACACTCATCGAGCTAACCATAGAATATAGTAGTTTGTTTTATTTGAAATGTGTTTTACTTATTAGAAATATTAATTATAAATAATTTCGAATACGTGGCAGCTTTGTACAAATAGTTCCAGATACCCTTAAAATTAAAAACATTATCTGGATACAAAATTCCCGCAAAATCGTTAGAGTCGTTTCCTAGAATCACTTGGATATACAGATGCGTGCAACTAATTAGCAACGAAATTCAAAACGATATTGCTTGCAAATTATGTTTATTTATTTATTTTTAATAATTTTCATTTAAAATATATTTCAATCTATTTCCGAAACCACAATAACAAAAGTTGCAAAGCTTGCACAAATTGCAAAAAAATTAATCAAACTTCAAAAAATTGTCATCAAAATTTCAAAATTTTTAATTAGAATATTTAGAAAATTGCAGTTTTGTAGCCCATTCAATTTTAGTATAATAAAGTGCAAGTTTCAAGTCGCTAAAAATTACCGTTGATTTTTAAGAATTTTTTTTGTGGAGGGTGTTGCGCATTTTCTTCCATATAACACATG